TAAGGAGCATTCTGGTTGTACTTCTTCCAAGACAGACCTGTTCATTCTTTTGGCAGTCCATGGTATATTCAATATTCTTCATCAACACCACAGTTCCAAGGTGTCAGTTCTTTTTCGGTCTTCCTTATTAATTATCTGGCTTTCGCATGCGTATGATGCGATTGAAAACACAATGGCTTGGGTCAGGCACAACTTAGTCCTCAAGGTGACATCTTTGTTTTTCAACACTTTAAGGGGTCTTTTGCAGCAGATTTGCCAGAGGCAATGTGTCTTTTGATTTCTTGACTGCTGCTTCCATGGGCGTTGATTGTGGATCCAAGTAAAATGAAATCCTTTACAACTTCAGTATTTTCCCCATTTATCATGACGTTGCTTATTGTCCAGTTATGAGGATTTTTGTTTTCTTTACGTTGAGGTGTAATCCATACTGAAGGCTGTGGTCTTTGATCTTTATCAGTAAGTGCTTCAAGTCCACTTCACTTTCAGCAAGGAAGGTTGTGTCATCTGCATAATGCAGGTTGTTAATGACTCTTCCTCTAATCCTGATGCCCCGTTCTTCATATAGTCCAGCTTCTCATATTATTTGCTCAGCATACAGATGGAACAGGTATGGTGAAAGGATACAACCCTGATGCACACCTTTCCTGACTTTAAACCACGCAGTATCCCCTTGTTCTGTCCAAACAACTGCCTCTTGATCTATGTACAGGTTCCTCATGAGCACAATTAAGTGTTCTGGAATTCCCATTCTTCACAGTGTTATCCATAATTTGTTAATGATCCACACAGTCAAATGCCTTATCATAGTCAATAAAACTCAGGTAAACATCTTTCTCGTATTTTCTGCTTTCAGCCAGGATCCATCTGACATCAGCAATAATATCCCTGGTTCCACGTCCTCTTCTGAATCCAGCCTGAATTTTTGGCAGTTCCCTGTCGATATACTACTGCAACCACTTTTGAATGATCTTCAGCACAATTTTACTTGTGTGTGGTATTAATGATATAGTTCGATAATTTCCACATTTGGTTGGATCACCTTTCTTGGGAATAGACATAAATATGGTTGGCCAAGTAGCTGTCTTCCAAATTTCTTGGCATAGACAAGTGAGCACTTCCAGTGCTGCATCTGTTTGTTGAAACATCTCAATTGATATTATGTCAATTCCTGGAACCTTGTTTTTTGCCAGTGCCTTCAGTGCAGCTTGGACTTCTTCCTTCAGTAGGTACCTGATCATATGCTGCCTCTTGAACTGGCTGAAAGTCGACCAATTGTTTTTGGTATAATGACTGTGTATTCCTTCTGCGTTCTTTTGATGCTTCCTGCGTCGTTTAATATTTTCCCCGTAGAATCCTTCACTATTGCAACTCAAGGCTTGAATTTTTTCTTCAGTTCTTTCAGTTTGAGAAATGCTAAGCGTGTTCTTCTCCTTTAGTTTTCTATCTCCAGCTGTTTGCACATGTCATATAGTACTTTACTTTGTCTTCTTGAGCTGCCCTTTGAAATCTTCTGTTCAGTACTTTTACTTCATCATTTCTTCCTTTTACTTTAGATACTTGACATTAAAGAGCAAGTTTCAGAGTCTCTTCTGACATTCATTTTGGTCTTTTCTTTCTCTTCTGTCTTTTTAATGATCTCTTGCTTTCTTCATGTGTGATGTCCTTGATGTTATTCCACAACTTGTCTGGTCTTTGGTCATTAGTGTTCAACGCGTGAAATCTATTTTTGAGGTGGTCTCTAACTTTAGGTGGGATATACTCAAGGTCATACTTTGTCTCTCATGGACTTGTTCTAATTTTCTTCAGTTTCATCTTGAACTTGCATATGAGTAGTTGATGGTCTGTTCCACAGTCAGCCCCTGGCCTTGTTCTGACTGATGATATTGAGCTTTTCCATCGTCTCTTTCCACAGATGTAGTTGATTTGATTCCTGTGTATTCTGTCTGGCAAGGTCCATGTGTATAGTCGCCATTTATGTTGGTGAAAAAAGGTATTTGCTATGAAGAAGTCGTTCATCTTGCAAAATTCTATCATGTGATCTCTGGCATCGTTTCTATCACCAAGGCCATATTTTCCACCTACCAGTTGTTCTTTGTTTCCAACTTTCACATTCCAATCGCCAGTAATTATCAATGCATCCTGATTGTATGTTTGATCAATTTCAGACTGGAGAAGCTGGTAAAAATCTTCAATTTCTTCATCTTTGGCCTTAGTGGTTGGAGCATAAATTTGAATAATAGTCATATTAACTGGTCTTCCTTGTAGGTGTATGGATATTATTCTATTACTGATAGTATTGTACTTTAGCATAGATCTTGAAATGTTCCTTTTGATCATGAATGCAACGCCATTCCTCTTCAAGTTGTCCTTCCCAGCATGGTAGATAGACCATGTGATTGTCTGATTCAAAATGGCCAATACCAATCCATTTCAGCTCACTAATGCCTAGGATATCAATGTTTATGCATTCTATTTTACTTTTGACAGTTTCCAGTTTTCCTAGATTCATGCTTCGTCCATTCTATGTTCCAATTATTGATAGATGTTAGCAGCTATTTCTTCTCATTTGGAGTCGTTCTGCATCAGCAAATGAAGGTCCTGAAAGCTTGACTCAGTCCACGTCATTAAGGTCAACTCTACTTTGAGGAGGCAGCTCTTCCCCAGTCGTATTTTGAGTGCCTTCCAACCTGGGGGGCTCATCTTCCTGCACTATATCAGACAGTGTTCCACTACTGTTCATAAGGTTTTCACTGGCCGATTCTTTTCAGAAGTAGACTGCTGGGTCCTTCTTCCTAGTCTGTGTTAATGTGGAAGCTCAGCTGAAATCTGTCCACCATGGGTGACCCTGCTGGTGTCTGAATACTGGTGGCATAGCTTCCAGCATCACAGCAACATGCAAGCCCCCACAGTATGACAAACTGACAGACAAGTCTGTAAAGATTACAGGCTTGGAAACCCTATGGGGCAGTTCTACTCTGTCCTATAGGATCTCTATGAGTCGGCATCCACTCAGTGACAGTGGGTTTTGGTTTATATAGAATAACTGATCCTGCTTTGTAAAAAACTGTTGCTGGCCTGCTTGTCAACAGCACATGTGTTCTAAATTGCTTTCTTGTTAAGAGTATTCGTTTTTCTTGCCCCTTCCCCTCCCCACCATGTACCCTATTTTCTTATCTTTATTGTGGTGAGTGCAGTTGTGGGGAAGATGTCTTCATTTAACGTTACATAAAAATTGAATAATATACATGGTACGTCAGGAACTGTAGTACGTGTTGAGGTTATGCCTTGCTCACTGCTATTTGAGTTTTTGCCTTGCTAACTTGTATTTATTCTTTAAACCTTCACTCACATATCACCTTTACGAAGCTTTTTCTGACTGCTCCTAGACTGAGTGAACTGCCCTTTTTCTCTGTTCCTATATTGCACTGTGCATAGCATCATCACTCATGTATTCGGGAGCCTGGTATATGCCAGACTTGCTAATAAGAACGAACCTCGCTGAGGGGCTTGGAAGAGGCTTTCCTGAGGAAGTAACGTTTAAACTGAGTCTTGAAGGATGCGTGGGAGGTAGCCAGGCAAAGATGGCAGTGAGGGGAAGGATGCTTATGTAGGCAGAGGGTTAGCATGGAAGAAGGTGAAAAAATGGATTTCTAGGAAGGGAAAGATTGAGAATGGCTAGCGCATAGAAAGACAAGGGAGGATGGGGTTCTTAAGAATATTGGAATTTATGCACCTGGCACTGCAAAGCTACTGAAGGGTTTTATTTAAGTAAGTTACATGATCTGATGATGCTTTTTAAAAATTGACTTTGCTGCTCTGTAGGGAGTGAATTAGGGAGAAGAGAGGAATCAGACACATTTGAGGTGGAGAGACCATTCAGGTGGGAAGCTGTGAGAGTAGTTCAGATGAGATAAAGCGGTGGCAGTGAAGATGGAGAGAAGTGGGGAGATGAGGACTATCATCAGTAGGACTTCATGACTGCATGTGAGGCCTTGGGAAGTTGGAGGAGTCAAGGATCATTTCAGGTTTTTAGCACTCTGTCGTATGGTGGTTGTGAACTTGTATGTCTGCCTTTCTCCTCAGACTATGCATCTTTGTATCCCCAGTAACTGGCACAGTGCCAGCTACAGGGTCCCCGTCAACATTTGTTGAACGAGTGATAGTTAAGGAACAAGTAGGATAAAGTTTAGAAGGGGAAACTGTGAGATGAGAAATGAAATATAAAACATAAGATCGTAAAATGACTTATCAAGTCTCTTCTTCAATGTTTTGCAGTCCAAAGAACTAGTAAATTGTCAACTGCATTATCAAACTTTCTATATGCCTTAGTATTTCAGTTATGTTTCATATACTTGTTTGAGATTCTTAGAACCTATTTTTCTTTTGGTTTCTGGCTTGATGTTACTGGTTTTATTTAGTATTGTCTTTATTCGGATTTCTTGTTTTTAAGGCAAATTCCATTTGATTTTCTAGTTTTGCTTAATCTACAACAGTCTGAAAAGGTATAAAAAGTTAATTGCATAATCTTTGCAGAGTGACAAAAGAAAAGACAAGACCTCAGGGTGGAGAAGGGAAGGGTGCTCAGTCAACTCCAATTCAGCACTCCTTTCTCACCGATGTCTCAGATGTACAAGAGATGGAGAGAGGCCTCCTAAGCCTTTTGAATGATTTCCACTCTGGAAAACTTCAAGCATTTGGTAAGTAATAGATTTTCCTCTTTACTATTTATTTTTTCTAAGCTGTTTGCATCCTATTTTCTGTCTCTGTATACGTGCATATGTGTTCTACTGTCCCTCTTAAAAGCATCGTTTTCTTTAATTTAAAAAAAATTCAGACAGAATGCAATAATCCCACATTTTATTTGTGATGAAAAATAATTTGCCTTTTAAAATTTCAGGAAAAAAATTTTTTTTTTAAAGGGAGGGTTAGTTGAAGTGTTAAAAGTAGGATTGCTATTATGGAATAAGTCTCTTGAAAGTGTAACAGATAAAAAGCACATTTTTCATCAGTTAAAATATTTTAGACTTAGTATCTTAGTTTTGAAAGGTCTCAGAATCATTTTCTGTGACCCTTTAAAGCTTAAGCTGTTTCCTGCCCAGAATTCCTAACTTCTGAATATAAAAGAAGTCAGTTTTCTTGTTCTTTCATGAAGATATACGAATATAAGCATAGTTAACAGATTGTTCCAATAAAAACTCTGAGTAGGTATTTTTGATATCCACTGAATTCACAAAGTATATGCTCAAATTTTTCATGTTCAGTTTGTACTACTTTATAAGCTTTTTCTGATTATGAAATTATTTCCTAGTGTCTTTTTAAAGTAATTTAAAAACTATTGAATATACACATACAGAATCTTCCACAAATGCATAAACGTCATCAACATACATATGATTATTTAAGTACTGCCTTTCCCTCCCCCACTTTTTTGTCACTTAGCTTCCTGTCTCCCTCCCTTACCCCCTCTGCTACCTCCACCACCTCTCGCCTCAACCAGTTAACAATCAGGTTTATATCCTTTCTTGTGTTTTTTCACTATAAATATATATAAACACACACAAAGATTTTTGTTTTCATTGTTTATTTTACGCAAGTGATACATGTAGTTTTCTGTATCTTGCTTTCCTCACCAGATAGTGTCTGATGGAAATCTCTCTAAGTCACTTGGTATAGCTCTAATTCATTGTTGTTGTTGTTTTTTTTTTTTAATGGCTATACTAATATCCAGGTTGTGAATATACCCTAGTTTATTCAGCCAGTACCTATTGAAGGGCGTTTACTTTGCTTCCAGTTTTGAGCCACTAAATATAATAGTGCAGTGAACACCTTTTTACATATATCCTTATGCTGGTGCTTTTATTTCTTTGGGATGGATTCTCATGAGTGCGATTGCTGAGTCTAGGCATGTGTCATGGATTGAATTGTGTCCCCCAAAAAATGTGGGTAGCAACTTGGCTAGGTCATGATTCCTAGTATTGTATGATTGTGTTATCTGATGTGATGTCCTTATGTGACCTCTACCACTATGATGAGATTATATGTGATCTCCTCATGTGTTGTAAATTCTATCACTGTGATGAGGTTATACTGATGAGGTTGACAAGATCAGTGTCTTAATGCAATCTCTTTTGAGATATAAAAGAGAGAAGCGAGCAGAGACACATGGGAACCTCATACCACCAAGAAAGCAGTGCTGGGAGCAGAGCGCATCCTTTGGACCTGAGGTTCCTGCGGAGAGAAGCTCCCAGAAGCCAAAGGAAGACTGATGACATGGACTTTCCTCCAGAGCTGATGGAGAAAGCGTTCCCCTGGAGCTGATGCCCTGAATTTGGACTTGTAGCCTACTGGACTGTGAGAAAATAAATTTCTCTTCGTAAAGCCATCCACTTGTGGTATTTCTGTTGGAGCAGCACTAGATGACTGAGACAGCATGTATATGATTTTAATTGTAATAAACGTATCCAGATTGCTTTCCAAAAAAGCTATTACACTGTTACACTTCTAGGTTTCATCTAGCAATTTATGAGAGAACCCTTTCCCCTGAATTTCCATCAGCAGTAGGTATTATCAGTTTTTGCCAGTCCGTTGTGTAAAGTTTCTTTGAGTCCTGTTGTGTTTAATGTCAATGTGTATTTATTTGTTAAGCAGTTGGATTGTTCTTTTGTGAATTGTGTTTTCAGGACCTTGATCCTGTTTTCTATTTAGTTACTTATTCTTCTGTTATTGTTGTTGTTAATTGCTAAGAACTTTTTGTATATCTTAGATACTAATCCTCTGACCTCTTATTTTTACCAAATTTATTGTGTCTGCGGACTTTGTTATGTTTAACATTGTAAGTTTTTAAGTTTTGTATACAAATATATCTTTTATAGTTTCTGGGTTTCCAGTTTGGTTATACTGTTATTTGAAAAGGAGACACTAAAAATGCATTTATTTCTCAAAGATGCTTTATTGTACTCCTACCCCCAACTTCAAAGGAGCCCTAGTGGCACAACAGTTAAGCGCTTGACTGCTAACCAAAAGGTTGGCAGTATCAACTCACCCAGTGGCTCCGTGGTAGAAAGACCTGTTCATCTGCTCCCATAAAGATTATAGCCTAGAAAACCCTATGGGACAGTTCCATTCTGTCACATGGGGTTGGTATGAGTCAAAAATTGACTCAACAGGTACCTACCACCACCACCACCACCCCGCTCTGCTTCAGCCCATCCCAGTAAGGTGGTATCTGAAGAATACTTCTTCCACCTCTCCTCTTCTCTCCCACCCTTCACATGTGATCTTTGGACCACTTACTTCTGTACTTTGTCCCTACCACCTCTCCTGCCCCTACTTTTAGGTGACTTTGTGTTCTTGGATTGCAGTCCTTCTTTCTTGTCTATGACTCTTATTTGATGGTTTGCTAGCTATAAGTGTTGCACATGACAAGTACATTACCAATCAGATTCTTCCTTCTTACTAGTCAGTTAATGTTTTTCTGTTTCAGTGCTTAAAAGATTTTTTTCTTTATCCTTTAAGTTTAGGCGTGTATCAGGATATGCTTAGGACTGTATCTTTTCTCATCAAGCCTGCCTGGAAATCAGTGGGCCCTTCACGTCTGTGACTGAGGTTTTTCATCTCAAGGAACATTTTTTTCTGTTATTCAATTATTTTTCTCCTCCGTCTGTTCCTTTTTATTCTTCTGGAGCTTCTTTTATTCTCATGTTCGGTCATTTGGGTCCATCCTCTGAACCTCTTATCTCTTCTCTCATGATTTCCACCTCTTTGTTTTTACTGTATATGTTGAGATGTATTTTCCGCTTGAATTTCCAGGTTACTGATTGTTGAAGAACATTATTAAAACAGAGGAAATGAGATGTTTTACTAAGAAGAAAGGATGATTTTGAGAGGAGACAGCTGTAACTGGCTTCAAAATTATTACTAGTCTTTAACATAATGCAGTATAGTCAATTTATGAAGATGTTATAAAGCTGGCTAGAGGAAACTATAGTATAGTTTACATTAATTCATATTAATTCAAGATATCTATTTCAACTTTAGCTGAGCTGTAGTGTACCTTTGTAGTACCTTTGAGAAAAACAAAGTTTTTTTTTTTTTTTTGAGAAATTATAGCATCAAGGGGTTTCAGAAACTGTGCTTAAAATGTATGAAAACATTTAATGTGACGTATGTACGTACATTACTTGGTCTGGGCAGATAACATTACCTCAGAGGATTCTTTTCACTAAATAACGTAAGATCTGTCTGTTAGCAGTTAAATTGTCTTGCACCACTGTGTAAACAATTGAAAATATTACATTGTGCTTCTTTAAAGTCAGCTTGAAAAACAGATTTTTTACCAATTTTTTACCAGCTTCACTAAATTAACAAGATTAATGTGATTAGTGCCTGGATGGTGCTAGCATGTGTCAAATTGCAGCATTTATATTTTAATTTTCCGTAATAATTGATCATCATAGATAATTATTTCCTCATGCTTCATAAATGTTTTGATTTATATTTCTTAAAGGACGAATACGTAATTGGTTGGCAAAATGATTCATGGTTGAAGTTCTTATAGGACTCATAATTTCACTGAGATAATTGTAGAATGTTGGGTCACTAATTCAAATGGTAGTTGTTAAATTGGATGGTGCTGTTGCTTTCATATACATTGCTATTGAATATATGTGTGTATATACACATTTTTTTCTGTGCTTAAGTGATTATTTTGCTTTTTAAAAATCTTTCCTGTATGATTTTTTGGTGCCCGAAGTTATTTCTTAGATTGATCCTTGTGTGATAGTCAGAAATTTGATTTGTAATTATATGTAGAGAATATGCAGCCATTAACAATCTAATTTGAAAAAGAAAGAAGACCAGTTTCTAATGTAGCACCTATATTTTTAAAGTTTTCCTCAAGGTTGTTAGTTTTAACTTGCCTAATTTTTGTTAACGCTGTTGTGTTTTCCCCCCAGGAAATGAATGTTCCATTGAACAGATGGAACATGTTCGGGAAATGCAGGAGAAATTAGCTCGCTTGAATTTGGAGCTTTACGGAGAGTTAGAAGAACTTCCTGAGGATAAGAGAAAAACAGCCAGTGACGCCAACCTGGATAGGCTTCTGTCTGATGTGAGTATAGTTCCTTTCTTTAATCTTTAAAAATATTTTTTATTGAGATAAAATTCACATAACATAAAATTTGTCATTTAAACTGTATAATTCAGTGGTTTTTAGTATATTCATAATGTTGTGTAACCATCACCACTGTCTAATTCCAGAACATTTCCATCACCCCAAAAAGAAGCCCTGTACTTCTCTATTTCCCCTGCCCCCAACCCCTGGGAAGCACTTTCTATCTTTATGGATTTACCCATTCTGGACATTTCATATAAATGGGATGGTACAGTATGTGGCCTTTTGTGTCTAGTTTCTTTCACTTAGCATAATGTTTTCAAGGTTCATCCATGTTGTACTTACATTTTTTAGAGAAAGGTACTCCAAGGGAATTATTATATTTAGATCTAAGCATGTATTATGAGAATTCTGACAAATCTAGAAGTATTTGCTTTTGTACATATAAGATCTTAAGATATGAAAGACAGTATGTCAAAAGACCTTTTCCTGACAAGATGAATTTATTCCTTTTAATAAATATAAGCTTAATTTGCTATACACTTAGGAGAATAACTTTAGTGTTGTGGAAAGAACACTGAGTTTGAAACCAGAATATTTTGTTTAGTTCAAGCTCTATATTTGTGTAATAATTTGGGCAATTTATTTAACATTTCTGTAACTCACATTTTTTCCTCTCTAAAATAGGAGTGATACATTCTACCTCATACTGAGGATGAATGACATGTGAAATCTTTTTGTAAGCCATAAAGGATTTAAAGATTTTGATCATTAAAATGTCAGTTTTTTTTTTTAAATAAAACTATTGAAATGATTTTTAGTTATGAGTATTTTTAAGAAAATTTATTTATAAAACACCAGGTTTTATCAACTGGTTTAGTTCTTTCCCAATAAGAAATTCCATTCATTTAAGAGCTTATATCCAAATAAAGCCTACTTTATAATTATTTTGCATGAGTGAATTTCCAACCTAGAAATTTTTAGAAAGGTTTCTTTTCAATATTTTGCTTTTTTATGTAAAGAAAATTTAAATGAAAAAAATTATCATTTAAAAATATATAGTTAACAATTGTCTACATAATGGTATTTTATCTTATAAAAATTAAAATTATTTTTGTTTCTTTGTGTTACAGTTAGAAGAATTGAATTCTTCCATGTATCCTTTGCCTACTATCAACAGTGAAAAATTTATGACTTATAATTTCTGGTGAATTATCCCTGTCAAGTTTTAGAAAGATGTGTTCTGCAGATGTAATGAACAGAGACACCTACTGTTATTTACTGGGGCTATTTCTCGTCTTTCTAGGTTTCCAAATGGAATTTTCTGGTTGTTTTGGATACCAAAATTTTGTTTTTGTTTTGTTCTGCTGTGTTTTGGGATTTTTTTAAACAATTTTTTTTTTTTTTTTTTTAAATCAAGAGAATTGAGGACTAGGCTAGCTGCCTTATAAATTATTTTTAATCTTAGATTCCACATCCTCTTCTGAATCTGGCTTGAATCTCCAGCAGATCCCTCTCAATGCATTGCTGCAACCATTTTTGAATTATCTTCAGCAAAATTTTAGTTGTATACGATATTAATTATGTTGTTCAATAATTTCCGCTTTCTGTTGGATCACCTTTCTCTGGAATGAGTGCGTATATGGATCTCTTCCAGTTTATTTGTCAGGTAGCTTTCCTCCAAATTTTTTGGCATAGACAAGTGAGTGCCTCCGGCATTGCATCTGTTTGTTGAAACATCTCAATTGGTATTCCATCAATTCCTGGAGCTTGTGCCTTCAGTTGGGGTTGGACTTCTTCCTTCAATATCATCAGTTCTTGATCATTTGCTACCTCCTGAAATGGCTGAATGTCAGCCAATTCTTTTTGGCACAGTGACTCTGTGTATTCCTTTCATCTTCTTTTGATGCTTGTTGTGTCATTCAGTATTTTGCCCATAGAATCCTTCAGTATTGCAACTTGAGGCTTGAATTTTTTCTTCAGTTCTTTCAGCTTGAGAAATGCTGAGTGTATTCTTCCCTTTTGGTTTTCTAACTCCAGGTCTTTGCAATTTCATCATAATACTTTACTTTTTCTTCTCAAGCCACCCTTTGAAATCTTCTGTTCAACTCTTTTACTTCATTATTTCTTCCGTTCACTTTAGCTCCTCTGTGTTCAAGAGCAAGTTTCAGAGTCCCTTCTGACATCCATTTTGGTCTTTTCTTTCTTTCCTGTCTTTTTGATGACCTTTTACTTTTTTTGTGTATGATGTCCTTGATGTCATCTCATAACTCATCTGGTCTTCGGTCATTATGTAGAATATTTTAGATGCATAAATTTGAATAATAGATGTCATTAAAATGCAGTGTTTCTTCAAGGGATGTTTATATAGCTTGTGAAATGACATTTTTAGAATTAAGAGTATAAAGTATATGATAGGATTAGTTTAAAGGTAATTACCAAGGCACATGTAAAATACCGAGTTTTTGACATTTCAATTGAGGGCAGTTCTTTCAGGAATTTTCCATTTTTTTTTAAAAATATAATGATAGGCACAAAGTGAAGTTTATAAGAACAATAAAAAATGGCCCTCGCTATACATGAATTTCATTTGAGGGGTAGAGATATCCACATTGAACTGTATAGTGAGATATTAGAAAGGTGAATGATATATCAGAATAAGATATTATAAAGGCTACTGTTTGTAGAGTCAGGAGAGTTGGTTTCTGAAAATTTTCCACCATTTTTTGGAGTGTGACTTTAGGCAAATTACTTAACATCTCAGAGCGTTCTCTGTAATATGGGGTAATTTCTAGATATATATAATGATGTGTATGTGAAATTTGGAAACCCTGGTGGTGTAGTGGTTAAGAGCTGTGGCTGCTAACCAAAAGGTTGGCAGTTCAAATCTACCACGTACTCCTTGGAAACCCTATGGGGCAGTTCTACTCTGTCCTGTAGGGTCGCTATGAGTTGGAATCTTCTTGACGGCAATGGGTGGTAGTAGTAGTATGGGGTAACAGTTAAGAAATAGGGAGGTACCATATTTTTATGCAAATAACACGTGCCTTCTACATTAATTTGCCAGCTGCACTCTCCCCACCGCGAGATACTTTCATAAGTGCTGCTATGCCAATTTTGTTTACATGTTGTAAATTAAAAATTAGCATAGGGTGCTTGCGAAAATACCTCACATAAAAATACGGTATATAAAAATCCAGTAATAATAATTAATAGCTAATCTTTATTGAATAGTCACTGTGGGCCACCTATTGAATGAAGGGTTTTACACGGATTGTCTCATTTGTTCCCTCTCTTGGAAGTAGGTGGTATTATTTTACAGATGTAGAAAATGAGGCATTGAGAAGCTATATAAACTGGGGAGAGATCAATGTAAGATATCATTGTCAAGAAAGACTTAAAGAAAGGGGGTAAGATTTGAGTTAAGTAGAAGACTTTCCTTAGGAGTAGCCCTTCGTTCTTTGTTCTTTTATCTGTTCACCCTTTAAATTATGAATTCTCTATGCTGTAATATCTAAGTGTCTCCTATTATTTAAGCTGCTGTTAAATATTTAGACCTACTTGTCTCACCACTTCCCTTAATCCAGTCCATGGTGGAATTTTTCCAAAACCATTAAACAAGGCAATGTGGTATAATATAAAAGCATAGACTTTGGAATGCTTGGTTTCATATCTTGGTTCCAGTAAGCAGCTGTATAACCCTGGGCAGTCTGGTAACCCTAGTTTCCTCATTTGTAGTAAATGTTTTCTCTGTACTCAGACTTCCCCCTCCTAATTTCCCTTTCTGTCATCGGTGCCTCCATTATTTTAACCTTCAAGATTATTTAAAAATCTCTCTATGACCGTGGCAAATATTGCTAATCAGTCATGACACTTTCTGCCATTGAGCCTGGACATGGACATGAAACCTATTTTTCATCTCTTAATTAAAGTCAGTTGGCAAGCGTTATCAGTTCTGCGTTTTATTCTCCTTCATTCTCTACAAGGTAATCTAGGCCCTTGTCACCTGATTCCATAACTTTTAAAATTTCTGTTCCAGGTTTAAAGCTGTGCTGTCCTATATGGTAGCCACTAGCCTGTGTGGCTAATCTAAATTGTGATGTGCTGTAAGTATAAAGTTACACACCTGATTTCAAAGACTTAGTGTGAAAAAAAGAATGCAGAATGTCTCAATGTTTATAATGATTACAAGTTGAAATGCTGATATTTTGAATATGTTAAATAACATACAGTATTAAAATTAATTTCACCTCTTTTTCCTATTTTTTTAGCTACTAGAAATTTTAAAATTACATATATGGCTTGTATTATATTTCTGTTGGACATTGCTGCTCTAGACTTTAGACATTGCTACTAAATTAATCTCCTGGAAGTATCACTTTCATCTTGCCATTCTTAATTCTTACCATGTCAGACTTTTAAAGGCTCCCAATAATCTGATCACCCAAGAGCACACCATGTTCGATCTCACCTTTATACCTTTGTTCGAGTTGTACTTCCTACCTAGAGTTGCCCTGACTTCCCCCTTCTTCTTATCAAATTACACTCAAGTTGACCACTTCCATTAAGCACTTTGTTTGTACCTCAGGTTAGTACTTAGCTGTATTCTGCTGTATTTTATTACCTGTTTATTTTTATATGTGGTATATCTCAGCCCTCCAACTGGATGAGAATGTCTTTGATGGCAGTGCCCATGTCTGCACATTTCTGCAACCCCTGTGATACATATGTTGCTAGCACTTAGTCACACTCAGTATATCCACATCATTGTTTGAATTGGGTCTTGAAAAATAGGTTCTACCAGGTGGGTAAATATACGCAAAAGAGAAAAAAGAAAGGCAGTGATGATGAGAAGGCAAGTGAATAATATGAGCAAGAATACCATCCTACTTCCAGTCTTTTGAGGAATAGTTAAAGAGTATAGTGCAGAAAAGGTTTTAGAGCTATTTTGTCTTATTTTTTTGGCTTTTTCAAAGAAACTTTTCCCAAAGTTGATTAAATCATGTCTTATGCTCATATGAATTTCTTGAAAATCCAGTAAATCTTTTCATATTTGCCTCTAGTCAGCTCCCTACTGTGAAAATGATTCTTGCTGCATTAAAATAATTCTGTGCTCTATTGGAACTTACAACATAAGCTAATTCAGTGATTAAAAAAAAAAAGTGCCTTCAAATTCTAGACAGAGTATAATTACTTCACCACATTTTAAAATTGTCATACCAGGTTTAAGTTTCTCAATAGCAACACAGGGCCTTTTCCTTTGAGTCTTAAAAATGTATTTCTTTCTTTTAATACCTGTCTCTGAGCTCCTGAGGATAATTTCCAGAAAAAAATTTTAAATTACTCATTATAGAATGAAAATTTTCTTAACTCATGAATTCAGACAAAAACTCCATTTGGCAGATGCACAAGATGTTCCAAATGCTTCTACCAGTTAAAATGAAATACAGTTTGCTTTCTTAAGATTTGAAGAAAAGCAATGTTCTTTACTTTTCCAGCTGAATCCAGTAGCAGAATTATCTTCCACCACAAGCAATTAAAATGAAGTACAAATGCAATGATTGTTTTCACATAGTGCTTTTAGTACATTTGACTTGCTGTAATTCACCGTAACTGGAGGCCAAGGCCTTGTTGAAGGCTTACTCAGGAAATGGTACGCAGAGGTTGTGCTGCTGTGCTTTATATTGTTGCCTTATGGGGTTATACTTGAAATGCATTGTGCTAAATGTCATTGATAGGGCTGAAGGATTTATCCTTCCTGAGCTCACCAAACTTACTACAGTGTTCATCATAAGTTGATGATGCACAGGCTTTTTGTGGGCAGCCTAGCTTCAGTTTACTTTAAACAATCAGTACATACTTTGGTGTATTTTTCAATGGCCAAGTGATGACAAAATGTTAAATAAGTGAAATTTGCTATTTTTAATAAAGTGATTGTTTTAAATTTATCTTTGTCTGTTTTGAAGTCTTTGATATAGGAATACAAAGGTTCAGTCCTTAAAAGTAAACTATGCTTACTAAATTTGAGATTCTGAAACTCTTTTGCAAATTTTGCACATTGTGCCATTTAAATACTGGTGTAATGAAAAGAGTGTGGGCTTTATAGTTACTTACACCTTGATGTGAATCCTATTCTGCCCCTTAGCTCTGTGTTCATGTACTCAGTTTCTTCAAGCCTTAATTTTTTTTAACCTAGAAACTGAGTTTAATAACCACCTCAAAATGGTTGTTAAGAGGTGGTGGTGGTTGTTAGGTGCTGTCGAGTGAGTTTCGACTCATAACGACCCTATGTACCACAGAACCGAACACTGTCTGGTCCTGCGCCATCCTCAAAATCGTTGTTATTGTTGAGCCCATTGTTGCAGCCACTGTGTCAATCCATCTCATTGAGGGTCTTCCTCTTTTTCGCTGACTCTCTACTTTACCAAGCATGATATCCTTCAGGGACTGATCCCTTCTGATAACATGTCCAAAGTACGTGAGACGTAATCTCACCATCCTTGCTTCTAAGGAGCATTCTGGTTGAACTTCCAAGACAGATTTATTAGTTCTTCTGGCAGTCCATGGTATATTCAATATTCTTTGCCAACACCATAATTCAAAAGCGTCAATTTTTCTTCGGTCTTATTCATTGTCCAGCTTTCGCATGCATATGAGATGATTGAAAACACCATGGCTTGGGTCCAGTGAACCTTAGTCTTCAAGGTGACATCTTTGCTTTTTAACACTTTAAAGAGGTCTTTTGTTAAGAGGAGTAAGTTAAGAAAATGCTTGTAAGATGTAACCTGACACCCTGTAAGGTTCAGCGTATTTAGCTCACTCATCTTTTCTAAACTGCTTTATTGAGATATACTTCAGGTACCATACAATTTACCCTTTTAAAGTATACAGTTCAGTGGTTTTTAGTATGTTCACAGAATTGTGCAACCATCACCACTACCTAATGCCAGAACATTTTCATCATGCCCCCCAAAAAACCGTTAGCAGTCACTGCCCACCTCCCACCCCTAGCCCCAGGCAACCACTAATCTACTTTCTGTCTCTATGAAGTTAACTATTGTGGACATGTTATCTAAATGGAATAACAGTATGTGGTATTTTGTGACTGGCTTCTTTCACTTTGCGTAATGTTTTCAAGGTTCATCCATGTTGTATATATCAGCACTTCAATTCCTTCTTATGGTCTAATAGTGTTCCATCGTATGGATATAGCACACTTTATCCATTCATAGTTCAGTCACCTTTACCTTGTAGAAGAGGCCCATGCTTCTGCCAGGTTATTTCTAGGCCACAGAAACAGGCATCTAATTGGAGGCAGGGTGGGGAGGATGAGGTTAGGACCCACTGAATAATGTCGATTTTAGTAATTTTTGGCATTCTGAGTTCAAAGAATTTTGATCAGTTTATCTAATTGGTCTTTTTAATGCCCCTTTTAAAAATGAGAAAATCTCCAAAATGTTATTTGCCACATTTGAGACTTTCAGTTGGGTTGAGAGAATAGAGGTTTGTGGGGAAAAATAGCACTATAGTGCCTGACAGAGCAAAAGGAAACTGCTATGTGGCATGTTTTTCTTGGGTGGGTCCTGAGAAAATAAAGCAAAAGCTGTTTCCTGTGGATTAGTGGCAGCAGCCGACTGACCTTGTTTATTTACTTGGTTCATCTTTCTGTCTCAGGTAACAACATGTTAGTTTATTTAATTTATATCCTCTTCATTTCACCTTAAACATATGCTAAAGGCAACAAAAATGAGATGCCTAGATTAGAACAAAATTTACTGTTTATTACATAGATGCTATGTAGTCATTGTAGTAAAATTATTTATAGATGATTTTTAAAAAACTATCAGAGCAAGCTATTTAACATATTTGTGTATATCCCTCCATACTTTTTACATGTGTTTACAAACTATAAATCACACTGCTTCTATGGTTTTCTAATCTGCTTTTTGTACTTAATACACTGAACAACTTTCATGGCAAAAAATATTCATCTGCATACAAAAGGAAAAAAAGGCTTCACAGTCAGTACTTAAAGGCATTTTGTCCAGAAACGTTAGAAACCAATTAGGAAGTGTCTTAGTTTTCTAAGGCTGCCATAACAAAATACTACAAAGTGGATGGCTTTAAAGAACAGAACTTTGTCTCAGTTCTGTAGGCTAGAAGTCAGCCACGTGGATTCCTGCTGTTGGCCTCTCTCCTAGTTTCCAGTGGTTGCTGGCAATCCTTGGCCTTCTTTGATGCTTATAGATACATCTGCCTCTGTTGTCACATGATGTGTCCCCTCCATCACTCCCTTTTTGTAAGACCCTACTCAGAAGCAATTAGGACTGGGACCCACCCTACTCTGGTGTGCCCTTGCCTGACCCAAATGATAAAAGAAAAGCCCTATTTCCCCAAACAAGATTACGTTTACAGGTGCAGGGGCTAGGACTTCAACGTATCTTTTTTGGGGGGATACAATTCAATTCATAATAGGAAGGTTTTTGTTTTTGCAGGGGTGGGGGTAGGCGGTGGGGGTGCTTCCTGTATAATGCTAAAATTGGTAACAGTATTAAAGTAGTCTGAGTATTTGCTGAAGATGAACATGATAAAGAATAAGAACCTCCACCGTCACCATCACATAGCCTTGAAATTGCTGGCTTTATTTGAGACCAAGCAAACGTTGCCCTCACTGTCCAAGTATCTTGTCAGGGTCACGGCTAGCTGGCGCTTCTGCTCGGGTTTTAAAGGGGCTTCTGGGATGTGTAGAGACCCAGTGGGCCCCACTGAAGCCTTCTTCCCACAGCAGAATCTCTGAAGGGTGGTATTTAAACCTAGCAGGAATCTCGCTGGGGCACTGGCAAGAGGGACAGGGTGGCCAGCGTAGCGCCTGATACTCAGGTGGTAGGCACCCCAGGAGCCCGCCTTCCGGGCAGTGCCGCTGGGAAAGGCCACGGTCGGCAGCCGGGTGAGTCTGGAATCCTGCCCTGGCCGCCCTAGGCGCGCTGCTGCCCCAAGCCCCGGCGCTGGGCGGAGCTGCGACCAAAAGTCTGCCAGGAGGACCCGGAGGGGTAGGGTGGCGGGTCTTTGTTGTCGAGTTCCTATGGAGATGGGGCTGTTCTGCCCCACCCCTCTCCCAGGCTGCCGGGCAGGAGAACCTGCTCTCGCTTTTCACTACGCCAGGAAAGAGAAGACAAACGCTGCGGGACTCGGCCTCTGGCCACTTCCGGAGGTAAAAACCTTGACTTCTTGGCCGTGCATCTTTTGCTTGGGGCCAGGTGGGGCACAGCGTCTAGGCCGGTTTAGTTTCTCCACGCAGTCTCAGGAAGACCTCAAGCAGCCCTGAGGCAGTGCACTGCTCTCCTTCATGACCTTGGGGGACCGTATCAACTCGGTAATTAACCCAAGAACTCTGAAGTGGCTCCAGGGGGAAACAAAAGCCATCTACGTCTAGGGGCAGATTTGAATTGGACTCGGCAAGTAAATTCTTCTCTCCTGCAATCATTTGGGTTAGAAATAAAGTTATTGAACACTTTGGAAAACACTGATTTGCATAGGGCTCCAGACTGGCTCACACTAGGCTCTCTCCTTCCTCCTGCCTGGTCTCACCCCCTTCCAAAATGGCGTGTGGTGGGAGGCGGTTACTGAAGGAGAAATAGAAGGAATCCGCTTCGGAGTTAGTGGTAAGGATTTGTAGAGATGTGATGGACAGGACAAATCATTAAAACAGGAGTACTTCTAAATGTTTATCTTTTTTAAAAGTACAAATGCTGTGCTTATTAATGTGTCTTGCCATAAGTGTCAGAACAGAATATCCTGACATCATCTGCATGAAAGTGCACCCCGTGCAATTGTATTCAAGCCCATTACAGTCTGTTCTGCGACAACTTGATATTTGTGCTCCTAAGGAACCTGAAAAATCGTGTTCTAAGAACAATTATTTTCAGTTGCCTCATATGCATGCGCAAGCTGGACAACAAATAAGGAAGATCGAAGAAGTGATGCATTTGAATTATGGTGTTGGCAAAGAATATTGAATATACCATAGACTGCCAGAAGAATGAACAAATCTGTCTTGGAAGAAGTACAGCCAAAATGTTCCTTAGAAGCAAGGATGGTGAGACTTCATCTCCTTTCTCTGGACATGTTATCAGGAGGGACCAGTCCCTGGAGAAGGACATCATGCTTAGTAGATGGTCAGCGAAAAACAGGAAGACCCTCTATGAGATGGATTGACACACTGGCTGCAACAGTGGGCTCAAGCATAACAGTGATTGTGAGGGTGGTGCAGGACTGGGCAGTGTTTCACTCTGTTGTACATAGAGTCGCTATGAGTAGGAACCGACTCAAGGGCACCTAACAACAACGATGTGCACTGGCAATTGCCCAACCATCTTGCCCCTTAATCAAGCTTCAGCTGTCACACAACAGTCTTTTCTCTTTTTTTCTTTTTGGTAAACCTAGAGGTGCGAATGTCAGTTGCTGAGTTCCTCATCATTGTCCCAGTTGTAGAGGATAATCAGTCACAAAATAGAAATTGTATTTTCAAATTAATCCATAGCAGTCATATATTCTGATTCAAGTTACACTCACACTTTAGGGAAAATACCAGAATAATTTTAAACTTGTTAGTCAATTGCTACCGGTGTGACCTTGGACAATTCTCTTGACCCTGTTTTTCTCAAGGTGAATGAGTGGATTTAGTGAGCTAGTGTATGGAAAAGAGACTAGCATAGTGCCAGTGAAAGTGGCCTCTCAAACAAAAAAAGTTAAATACAACATATATTGCATGCCCTCCTCCCCATTTTGCTATTGTTAGTTAATAGGTTTGTTGAATCCTGTTATCAATGGGAAAAGCCACATCTTTGGGTCTCCTTTTTCCCTTCTTAGAACAAACTTTAGAAACATTCAGTACCTTTTTTTTTTTTAATGGAAAGAGGACCCTAGTTTGTATCATGCACACTGGAGTTTCAATTCAAAGTCAAGAACTGGGCTACAGTAAGTGAGGCAGTAGCTGGACTTTTACTTTCCCAGTAGTGACACCCTATTTTGTATTAGAACAGGATAATTCCTAAATGATCACAGAACAACTTCATGGTTTGGTGTTTGGGCTTTTGGAAAACGATGCATGTCAGATGAAAAAAGGATGAGAATTTGATTTTATACATTTAAATTTTGAGTCACTCTTGGTATTAGAAAATATTGATGACTTCTAGCCCCAGCAAACACCTTGACTGTGACAGACCCTGAGCCAGAGGACCCAGCTGTTATGGGTTAAATTGTGTCCCCCCAAAAGCCATGTTGAATCTTAACACCTATACCTGTAATCATGGCCCTGTTTGGAAATACGGGCTTTCTTTTGATAAGCTAATGAAATCAGACTAGAGTTGGGGTATCTTGTGAAAAGAGCAAAATAGACATAGACATACACAGGGGGAAGAGACTGTGAGGAACTGTCTAAAAGCCAGGAAATGCCCGGGGCTGCCAGTAAGGAAGGATGGTTTTCTAGAGCTGTTGCCCTAATTTGGATTTCTAGCCTCCCAAACTATGGGACAATAAATTTCTGTTCTTTAAAGCCACCCACTTTGTGGTGTTTTTGTTATGCAAACTCTAAAAAACTAAGATATCTGTTCAGCCTTGCCTAGATTCTTGGCTCACAGAATCTGTGAGATAATAAATGTTGATTGTTTTACACCACTAAGTTTTTATATAACTTGTTACACAGCAATGAATAACTAATACACACTATGATAGGCTCCATATAACAAAGATCAAGGGAAATGCTGCATATTATTTCCCTCTAGGAGATACAATGTAAAGATTAGCATACAAAGTTTGAAAATGTCCTGCAAAATAGAAACATGTTTAATTTTGTTCAGTCAATCATTTCCAAAGCATATTTAACCACCGATCTGGATTTTTCTGGGGGAACACCTATTTGTATTTTAGATAGATAGTTGCCATTGAGTCAACTCCAACTTATGGCTACGTCATGTACAACACAATGAAATGTTGCCTGGTCCTGCATCATCCTCACCATCACTGGCATGTTCAAGTTCATTGTTGTGGCTATTGTGCCAGTCCAGCTCACCCTTGCTGGCCCTCTACTTCACCAAACGTGGTGTCCTCCTCCAGCGATTGATCCCTCCTGATGACATGTCTAAAGCCAGTGAGTCAGACAGTGCTATTTTCTGACCTATAATGTTTTCATTGACTAATTTTTACAAGTAGACTACCAAGCTTTTCTTCCTAGTCTGTCTTTGTCTGAAAGCTCAGCTGAAACTTGTCCACCCTGGGTGACCCTCCTGATACATGAAATACCAGTGGCATCATAGCAACACACAATCTACCACAAAACAAAAAACTGACAGACGGGTGGTGGATTAATACGTTTATAAGACTACTATTTGGAATAAGAAAAGAAATCATTCCCTTTAAAGTGGTAATTGCCAGCACGACACTTCTCCCTGAGCTGAATAGCTAATTAGCCAGTTTGGTATCTTAGGTAATGGAAATAATCCTGTGGAAATTATGTAGATGTATGATCTACTGTGCTCACATATTTAAGCCCACCAGCAGTGAAAGCAACTATTCTTTCTGTAATGTTCAGCTCATTGTGTAACTCAGTAATCCCTTAACACAGAGGATAATAATAATCTTGGGAACTTGCTAAACAAAAATCCCTTATGTTGGCT